TCCATTGTGGTGGTGTATAGAGCCAAAAATGTTAGAATTGTGTCGATGTCCCAATATTTATGGACCTGACTGTATATATACGTGATTTATCATTTCTGGGTAGGGGTTGCGTGCACCCTACCCGCGCCACTATTGGTGGCCTCACCTGTTGATCACCCGGTCCCGGTCGGTGATTCCCCGCCGATCGATGTGCATCATAGCATAGCAGAGCCATACAAAGCAGTGTGCTTACAGTGTAAAGCACGCACACAGCACACAGTTAACCCTTTGATCGCCCCAGATGTTAACCCCTTCCTGCCCAGTGTCATTAGTACAGTGTCAGTGCTTTTTATTTACTGATCACTATATTGGTGTCACTGGGGATGTCAATGACAGTCAGTTCCCCCCCAATGTCAAAATGCCCACCACAGTCCCGCTATAAGTTGCTGATCGCCGTCATTAAATTTTTTTTTTAATAGCGCAAAAAATAAAAACTACAGATCAAATACCAAAGAAAGCTCTATTTGTGGGAAAAAAAGGACATAAATTTCATTTGGGTGCAGCATGACCACACAATTGTCAGTTAAAGTAACGCAGTGCCGTATCGCAAAAAATGGACTGGTTAGGAAGGGGGGTAAATCCTCTGGAGGGCAAGTGGTTATGTAATGCAGTGCAGCATCAACATTGTCAGTCTAAATTTCAAGGTTTTCTCAAAACCTTGGAATTAGAGATGTCCTATGGTATAAGGCGAAGCATGAAGTAGAAAAATGTTTATGGCCTCATGGTTGCAAGTGAATTGAGTGTAGTAAAAGAGTATTTTGATCCTTCCTGACAAATTATAGAAATAAGAGGCACGGATTGTTTCATGTCTTCAGACAAAATCTGCTAATACATAAAAGTCACCTGGACCTAGAACACACATTTTACTTATTTAGTTTTTTGAATGAAGACCGTTATCTAAGACCAGCCGGTTTGTGAAAAAGTTATTCTCCCTTACACTAAAAGCAGAACTTCATCCAAACCACAATGTTATATAAGCTGTTTCACGCACTAAAGGGTTTAGCTACTGCACAAAAAGCCGCCGCAGTATACACACTCAGCTTAATTTTCTGGTTAAGAGCTCGTTCACTCCATTGGGCCCTGTTAACATATACACTATATTGCCAAAAGTATTGGGATACCCTTCCAAATCATTGGATTTAGGTGTTCCAATCACTTTCATGACCACAGGTGTAATAAATAAAGCAGCTAGGCATGCAGACTGCTTCTACAAACATTTGTGAAAGAATGGGCCGCTCTCAGGAGCTCAATGAATTCAAGCGTGGTCCCGTGATAGGTTGCCACCTGTGCAATAAATCCATCCGTAAAATTTCCTTGCTGCTAAATATTCCACGGTCAACTGTTAGTGGTATTATAACAAAGTGGTAGCAACTGCGAACAACAGCAACTCAGCCACAAAGTGGTAGGCCATGTAACATGACAGAGCGGGGTCAGCACATGCTGAAACGCACAGTGCACAGAAGTTGCCAACTGTCTGCAGAGTCAATAGCTAAAGACCTCCAAACTTGTGACCTTCAGATTAGCACAACAACAGTGCATAGAGAGCTTCATGGAATGGGTTTCCATGGCCGAGCAGCTGCATCCAAGCTTTACATCACCAAGAGCAATGCAAAGTGTTGGATGCAGTGGTGTAAAGCATGCCGCCACTGGACTTTAGAGCAGTGGAGACATGTTCTCTTGAGTGACGTATCACGCTTCTCTGTCTGGAAATCCGATGGACATGTCTGGGTTGAGCAGTTGCCAGGAGAACGGCACTTGCCTGACTGCATTGTGCCAAATCTAAAGTTTGGTGGAGGGGGGGATTATGGTGTGGGGTTGTTTTTCAGGGTTTAGGCTTGGCCCCTTAGTTCCAGTGAAGGGAACTATTAAGGCGTCAGAATACCAAGACATTTTGGACAATTTCATGCTCCCAACTTTGTGGGAACAGTTTGGGGATGGCCCCTTCCTGTTCCAATATGACTGTGCACCAGAGCACAAAGCAAAGTCCATAAAGACATGGATGAGCGAGTTTGGGGTGGAGGAACTTGGCTGTCAGGAATGGACTCGCCAATGGTGGTGGGACTCCCCTGCCGTGTGGGCTGCAGTACCAGGGCTGACCAGCGGGTGCTCTCAGCAGCCAGAAGCTCACTCCTGCAATCAGCCAACACCTGGGCTGATTGCAGAAGGTGTATTTAAGGAATGACCAGGCCTGTGGTCAGGACCTTGGTGTATGTTTCCCATGAGCCCCTGTATCTTGTATCCTGTGTTCCTGTGCCTCTGCCTGTCTGATTTGTTGCTGACCCTGCCTGATCCTGACCTCTGCTGACCGTCTCCTGTTTAACCCGGCTTGTGACCCTGACCATTCTCTGCCTGATCCTCTGTACCGCGCTGCCCGTGAGTTACTGAACCCAGCTTGTGACCCTGACCATTCTCTGCCTGATCCTCTGTACCGCGCTGCCCGTGAGTTACTGAACCCAGCTTGTGACCCTGACCATTCTCTGCCTGCTCCTTTGGTACCTCGCTGCCCGCACAATGCTGACCTGGTCCGTCTGACCACGCTAACTACTCTGCCATCCATCCATCCTGCACGGATCCAGCCGTCCCTGCTTACACCACCTGCCTCTTCACATCAGGCTTTCTACCTGCACATACCTCTGGCGGATCCCTCTACCACAAGCAGGTGTACTCAGGGGCCGCGACCTGGTTACTGTCTGCTCCAAGTCCATCCCCACCATCAGGGGCCCTGGTGAATAAGACTGAATCTAGCCTAGTCAGTGCTTCCACGTAAGAGCTAACAAACTCATTGACTATTTATACACTGACACTAATTGCAATTTAAAAAGCCACAGATGTGGGACATTAACCTCTAATTGGCATGTTAACCCGTGTGTGTCACCTTGTGTGTCTGTACCAAGGCCAAACATTCCAGGGTATGTAAACTTTTGATCATGGCCATTTGGGTGATTTCATTATAATTTAAAAAGGAGCCAAACAACTATTTGATAATAAATGGCTTCATATGATCATCGTCTTTCAATAAAAGAACATTTTTTTTGTCATGATCAGTCATATTTTCAATATCAATGCCAAAATTTCACAATTTCTGCCAGGGTATGCAAACTTTTGAGCACAACTGTATGTTGCCCTGGTTTCCCTTTGCTTCGCCCTGCAGCAAGGCACACACACACTTTGGCTAATTGTCTTCAATGACCAGTCTAGGGGATGTTTTGTTTTTGGAGTTTTATTGTCGAACTAGGGATAGGGAATTGTAGTAAGATACTCCAAAATTAGAACTATTCACATTGAGGACATCTGAACATATCTCTCAGTTGAGCAATACAGAAGTATTAGAGCAGATAGCAGACTTCCTTGTAACATATAGTAGCAAGTAGTTTTAGGAGTGAACCAAGTCCCTTTAGCTGTAGTAGTAACAGGGTTGAGCTCCTCAGGTATTGGCCTTTTACGGGTGACTGCGACAGTCTAGAATTAATAGCAACTGAGCAAAGACCTTTGCAGTAGCACATGTTGGACATATTTTCAGAACACTAGCCCAGTGTTCTCTTTTCTCAGACCCATCCTGACTATTAAGCACCAGAGGGGTAGCAAAACACAAGATCTCTCAGTGTCTGTAATCACAAGTCCAAGGACAGAATGGTTGCATCCTTCCAATCTTCCAAGTGAATCTCTCCACTGATACCAGACAGATCTTTGGCAGACAGCTCCCCGCAGTCAGCTAACTGTAGAACCAGGGTCACTAACTCTAACTTCAGGCCCTCAGGTCAACCACCTGAGGCCACATGACAGCAAGTGCCAGGCAAGGCAAACCTGCCTCCAGCCTGGCTTGGTGCAATCCTTTCCAGGGAAATACACTGAACCCATGTGCTCTCAGAATAGAAATACCACTCCCAGCATGCAATGGGGTCACCCTCCACTGCAATTGGCCAGGGATGTATCCATATTCATGCTGTTCATTTGCCTAGCCCCTACCCATGTTCTGGAAGGCTCTCATAGCTTCCTGAAGGTGGGCAGAACTCAAACAACACTAGAGCTTCATGAGCAGACCTGACTAATCCATCACAGAACTCTGCTAAGCAGAATACCACACTGAATTTACCTGACAGCCTCTCTGGTAAGCAGAGAAACTCCGCTATGCTGAACCCAGCTATACAAATCCTAGCACCTAACTAGGAGGGTGCTACACACAGAACACTGTGAGTGAGTGATGTGTCCGGGCTGGCGGTTTTTTTAAATTGTGACAGCTAGCGGGGAGGAGAAGATCCCCCACTAGCTGTCATAATGGGGGATCAGGGAGGGGGGTGCTGGGGCCTGTCCGTTCATAACATGTTACATATTACACCCTGAATATGTTACAGAAGGTGAACTAATCCTTTAAAAAAACATCTGATGATTCTGCAATTATGGTCCTTGTTTAGGCATTTCCTGTGATAAGAACACAATGTTCTGTTCCTGTCTCCCAATTGTTCTCCTGTGTATTCACCCTGCCACCAGCTCTTCTGGTACAGACTACGAGTGGCCTTCCCTATACATTATCTGCATCAATCCACTCATTCAAAGGATAGAGAACAGGTTAATCCAATTTAAATTAAAAAAAAAAAGAAATAAATGACAGTTGTTGATAGTTCACAGTGCTTCAGCAAATTAAATGTAATCTAGTTAGGTTTTAGATCTACTTTATTATTGTTGGAAGGTCTTTCTCTAGATGATTCATAGAGAATAATGACCAAACGGAGGTAGCGCCTGCTAACTTATAGACACAGCAGGGTCTGTGTATAAGAAGAGCAATGGCAGGTGACTATAAACATACCAGGCATGCCATGCTGTGAAAAAGCAATATTGTGGACAGGTAAAGGTACCTTTTTACTGGAAAGGCATCCCAGATCTGTATCAAAAGCACAGCTACCATTTAGGCCTAAATTTTTTCTATTCTTTTCCTAGAAAAAGAGAAATATCAGTTTGGAGCCATGGAGAATGAACATACCGTTGCAACATCGTCAACATCTCCAACAACTAGCACTTCTTCTACATCCCATCCTTCCCATCCTCCTCCAATCTCAGTATACAGCAGCACGGATCGCCATGCCGTGCAGGTATGTCTCTGAACCCATAGTGCTCAATCAGTTTGAAAATGACAGATTCAAAATTAAAGGCTGTTGTGTGCCTGATTCATGCCAAGCTGGTCAGAGAAATTGATTACAAATAACAATAAAAACTCTGCGCCACAGGCAAAACCAAAAAAATAAGGAAACACAGATGAAAGTGATTATGGCTGCTGTAGTCTTCAAAATATGTCTAACTTCCACATTTGTGAACTCTATAAATGTGCACATGAAACGTGCTGCCAAAAATGTGCATCAAGGTTAATAAACAGTTTGCCACAAGTGCAACACCAGAAAATACAACTAATGTTCAATGTATCTATAAGTCAAATAATAGCTGCTTAAAAAACAAGATAGGGGGACAGGTGATGGTGCCATTAATAGATAAACAGGTGACCACTTCCAAGTGCTGCAGGTGACCCCACGTAGATTTGCACTCACCACAGTGGATGGACTTTCTATTACTAGATAGGTCTCACTGCGCTTTTTTGGTTGAACCCACTGTGTGTCTTACCAACGATTAGACCATTCACATCTACCAGGATACGATTTCAATATCAGGGAAAAGGTTTATTGCGCAAAGCAGCCAACTTTATTAAACCATATAAAACGTTACAATTACCCGAAGTCACATGTATATGCGCCTAGGGACCGACACTAGGTACATACAGCGCATATGGTTAAGATGGCTGCCACCACCCTGAGATGGATCACATTTATTGTTTCCCCTCTGCCCTATAGCAGAAATACTGCTACGGGGGGCTGCAGGGGTGAATAAAATCATGTATATATACACGTGATTTTGCAGTTGCAGGTAGGGGGTGCGTGCCCAACCCGCGCCACCATTCGCGGCCTCGACTGTCAATGAATGGGTCCCGGCCGGACATTACTCGCCGGCACCTGGTGATTGCCGAGTATTACCGATGGGGGAGAGAACTGTATGTAAACAATACAGTTCTCTCCCCGTCAGCTGATGCACACTGCTTTGTATGGCTCTGCATAGCATAGCAGAGCCATACAAAGCAGTGTGCTTACAGTGGAAAGCACACACACAGCATACTGTGAAACAGCACACAGTTAACCCTTTGCTCGCCCCACATGTTAACCCCTTTCTGCCCAGTGTCATTAGTAGTGTCAGTGCTTTTTAATCAGCACTGATCACTGTACTGGTGTCACTGGGGATGTCAGTGACGCCAAGTAATTTCCCCCCAGTGTCAAATTGCCCGCTGCAGTCCCCTTATAAGTCTCTGATTGCCGCCATTACTAGTAAAAAAAAAAATAAAAAATCCCAGTATATATACCACCATTTGTAAATGCTATAATGTTCACATAAACCAATTAATTTACATTCATTGGGATTTTTATTAGCAGAGACATGCAGCAGAATACATTTTGCCCTAAATTTATGATGAAATTTGATTTTTTAAATTTTTTATTGGACATGTTTAATAGCAAAAAGTCAAAAATATTGTTTTTTTTTTTTTTCAAATTGTCAGTCTTTTTTTGTTTATAGTGTAAAAAATAAAAAACACACAGGCGATCAAATGCCACCAAAAGAAAGCTCTATCTGTGGGAAAAAAAGGATGTAAATTTCATTTGGGTGCAGCAATGCATGACCGCGCAATTTTCAGTTAAAGTAACACAGCGCCATAATGCAAAAAATGGAATGGCCAGGAAGGGTGGCAAGTGGTTAAAACTGTGTGTCCGGGTGATTACATGGTATTTTGGGTGATTGTGTCCAATCACAAACAATACAAAGTAAAAGTAAAGATCTGTTCTTTCTGCTCTCATTGTGAGAGCAGAGAGAACCAATGCTGCAGCCTGTGAGTGTACAACAGTCTGTCAGGCTGCTTGTACACTCAGACTGGATCGGGCCAGGACCTGCATGTCTGTGGAGGGGTTATACAGATCTGGCACTCACCTGGAATGGATCTTTTGCTCTTTCAGTTGTACACTCAGACTGCAGTGCCAGTCACCCTAGTGTCCCTGATCACTGCCCCAGTGTAATGTAAATAAGTAATGCAGACATCCCTACCACCTGTCCCAATGCTCACAAAAACACCACCATACACCATACCAATGTCCTGATCAGTGCCATACTAGCGTCCTGATCACCACCATACCTCATACCAGCGCCATGATCACCATCATATGCCATACCAGCGCCCTGATCACCATCATACCTCATATTAGTGCCCTGAACACTGCCAAACACCATATCAGCACCCTGATCACCGCCATACCCCATACCAGCTTTCTGATTACTCCATATGCCATACTAGCATCTTGATCACTGCCATACTCCACACCAGCATCCTGATCACCACCATACTCCATACCAGTGTCCTGATCTCTGCCATACCAGCATCCTGATCACCGCCATACCTCATACCAACGGCCTGATCTCTGCTATACCCCATACCAGCGTCTAGCATTTTAGGGTCTCAACTGATAAATTATCAGATATATATCACATAGTTTGTAGACACTATAACTTTCACACACTAAATAATATACATTGTTTTGGCTTATTTTTTTTACTCAAAAAATTTAGCAGAGTACATTTTGGCCTAAATTTATGAAGAAAGATTATTTATTTGCAAAATGTTATAACAAAAACTAAGCAAAAAAAATTTTTTTTTCAAAATTTTCAGTTTTATATAGCAAAAAAAACAACAACCCAGTGGTGATCAAATACCACCAAAATAAATCTATTTGTGTGAAAAAAATTATAAAAAATGGGTACGGTGTTGCATGACCGCGCAATTGTCATTCTTACTTCAACAGTGCTGGAAGCTGAAAATTGGCCTAGACTGGAAGGGGGTGAAAGTGTCCGGACTTCAAGTGGTTAACCATATGTGCTGTATGTACCTAGCGCCAGTTCTTAGGCACATATACATGTGAATGCGGTGTATTTGTAAGGTTTTATATGGTTTAATAAAGTTGGCTGCCTAGCGCAATGAACAGTTTCCCTGATACTGTTTTTTGAGTGGCGGTGTATTGCACTGGAAGAAATTGCATCCTGGTAGATGTGAATGGTCAAGTTGGTGGCAAGACACACAGTGGGTCCAACCAAAAAAGCGCAGTGAGACTTATCTAATAATAGAAAGGCCATCCATTGTGGTGAGTGCAAATCCATATGGGGTCACCTGGAGCACCTGGAAGTGGTCTCCTGTTTATCTGTTACTAATGGCACCATCACCTGTTCACATATCTTTTGGTTTATAAGCAACTATTATTTGAATGGGACTTATAGATACATTGGACTTTAGTTGTATTTTCTGGTGCTGTTTATTTATTTATCTATTGTTTGCACTTTTACATGTGGAAAACTGTCTATTAACCTTGATTCACATTTTTGGCAGCGTGGTCCATATACACATTTACAGAGAAATCGATAGTCAACAGTTCCCTTTTTTACTGTTAAGCATATATACCATTCATTAATGTTAACTACCCAAATAAGATCTCTTGTGATGCCAAAACCAGTCTTCCAAGGCAAGGTGCTAGAATTGTTTGTTCCTTATACACAATTAAATTGTTTTACAGTTCTGCTACAACTGTTAGCATAATAAAAAAAATCTTTCTCTAACAGCTTTAGAATAGGTTTGACTTCCATAGAAATTGTAAAAGGGAGGCACTACCTATTAGTCTAGCTGCTGATGGTGGTGCTTGAACAGGAGTTCTCCCTTCCCCTCTTTCTCTTTAAAGTGATTATAAATGTTCTATTTTTAAAAAATTAAAATAACAAACATGTCATAATTACCTGCTCTGTGCAATGGTTTTGCACAGAGCAGTGACAATCCTCCTCTTCTCGGGTCCCCCAACGGTTCTTCTGGCTCCTCCCCCTTGCCGAATGCCACTATAAAAAGCTGATTTCTATGAGAGCACTTGTGCGGGGCTCGCTCCCGAGCCACTCTCTCTGCATCTATTGATACAGACAGAGGGGCTCAGCTCCGCCCCCTGCTCCCTTGTCATAGGATTTGATTGACAGGAGCAGGAGCCAGTAACTCGTGCACATCGCTGGATTGAGAATGGGGTCAGGTAAGTATAAGACGGTGAGCGGGAGATCCTCTGAAACAGAAGATTTTTTAGCTTAATATATAAAATTCATTAGGGAAAACCCCTTAAGGTTTTAGAACTACTTTAACTGTTAGTGCAGCAGTTGGAGTGTAAAGTGGATCTAAACCGATCAATTTAAATGTTTCCCAAAACAGTTATATTTAAGGTATACCGTGAATTGAATGATAACACAGTTGCTTGTTCTTTCAAACAAACTGTCAAGCTGTTAAATGGCTGGTGTTAAAAATTATTGCAACACTATGGCAACTGAAAATCAAATCGAAACTAAAATGCCACCTTCCATGGCTGTGAAAGATAAGAGGGTTTAGTTTCACGTTAAGCAAATTGCATTCCAGCATCCAAATAGGACCATTTGTCTTTAACACATGTTTAGAGTTATCACTTTAAGGTCATCACAGAGGACAAGGGGAAACTCTTTTGTCTGGAGGAAAAGAGATTTAATCTCCAAATACAAAAAAGGCTTCTTCTCAGTAAGAGCAGTGAAATTGTGGAATATACTCCCTGAAGAGCTGGTTCTGGCTAGCTCAGTAGATTGTTTTAAAAAAGGCCTGGATTCTATCCTGAATGTAGATAATATAACTGAATACTAAAATTTAAAGTTGATCCAAGGAATATCTGATTAGCTCTTGCGGGATCAGGACAATATTTTTTCCCCTGCTGGAGCAAATTGTGTCAAGCTTTATTGGGGTTTTTTGCTTTCCTCTGAAACAACTGTGGATATAGGATTGTGTACATAACATTGCATAATTTTTTTTTCAACTGGACTAACTATGTAGCTATGTTTGCTTCTCTACACTGACCTACTTGTCAGATGGGCATGGCTATGAATGTGCAGTGGTGGGAAGTGGGATCTGGGTTACCCAGTGCACTGTGTATTCTGACAGGTTCTCATCTTATGATCATATGTC